GATAAGTTGATTGGGGCCTTGATAAATTGCTCAGGCTGGCTTGGAACTTGCAATCCTCTTGCCTCAGCTCCCCGAGGGTCTGGGATGACAGGTGTGTGAGATCCGCATGACCTCATCCCTCAGCAGATGACTTTTTAAAAGTAAGACCACCAGACAACCAGACTCCTCTGTCTATGCTGAGCTGGTGGGGGCTGTTCCCATCGTCTTGAGATGTAACAGGAAAGCAGATGTTATGGGCATATATTTCATTTGGTGTCACAGAGAATCATGAGATAGACTTTGGGTATGTACAAACAATCATTTCTCCAAGTCCCAATTACCACAGCTATTTGTGACCCTAAATTTCTGAGTCTTCAACTACACATAGTAGGAGCATCTGGAAGCCTCACTAAGTGATTCTCCCATCACTCGGAAACTTCCGAGTCGAAAACCAGTGCTTCTCTGTGATCTTACATTGGAGAAATGGTCTTGCCCATTCCAGGCTCCCCCCTGGGCATGACAGCTCTTTCCAGCAACTTGAGAAAGGGCCTTGCAAATGGATAAGTATTTTTAGAGGAAAATAAATGATAGCAAGGTCAAACAGTTATTTCAGAATAGCATGGAAGAAAACCTGTGGGACTTTTGGTTGTCTTTTGTCATTTGCATTCAAGAGCTGAAAAAAGTGACATTAACATATTATGACCGAGAATCAGGAAAGAGCAATTTTGAACAGCCTCCCACTAAGTCCCCAGAGTCATGCAGAAGAAATGAAAAGAACAACCTGACACACCAAGTCAGCCATCTAGAAACCAGGAAGCCAGGCAGGCATGCTTGACATGCAGCACAAACACGGGTCTCAGGGAAGCTGGGTTTTCCATGGTGATGATTAAGTCAAACAGTTTTGTGGGAGCTCTTATAAACCCAGATAGTTTCATTTTATTCTAGATTATTTTCAGGTTTCTGGAGTCTTTGAAAAACACAGCATAAATAAATCACTGGTATTGTGTTGTCAGGAGAAAATAAAGAGGGACTCAACTTTTCCATATGAGCAGGAAAGGGCCACAGGCTGAGAAAGAACACTTCCTGTTTTCTCAGAGATAGAAATCTAAGTTGGGCAATTAACACAGATGCAAAATATGTATCATTTCTGGGTGACAAAACCCAGGAGGTAGAAAATATTTCCTATTTTTT